GACTTTAGGGTGCAAAGTCGCGTTACGTTTATTGAATATAATTGAATTTTTGAAAAATGGAGAACGATTCAAGTGATCTTAAATTTTCAAATACATCACCTAATATTAATAAATAAGCCAACATAGCATCATTAACATCACTGCCACAAAAATCTAAAGACAGGTATGAAAAACAATGTAACCAATATAAGACAAATAATTATTCAGAAAATGTTTTACTAGCATATTTTTCAAGAAAAATCATTAAAAGCTTCAACACATTGGTTCAAATACAATGCCGGATACAAACCAAATAAAGCCTAAAACTTTTACAAGAAAAAAAAAATAAATTTTTAATGGAATGTTTCTTATTTATGAAGGCAAGATATAAAATCTCATGCAAAATAATTTAGCCATTGACATAAAATATTCATACCTTCTTGTTATTGAAATTTCTGAAGCATGTCGATGTGATGAGCTTATTAGTGTGGATGATATTGAAGATAAAGACAATATTTTAGTAATAAATATTCCTGCTTCAAAAACGAATAAACAACGAATTGTCGTAATAAATACAGGCAACGGCCCAAATTTTGTTCAAATTGTTAAAAAATATATCTGTCAACGTTTTGAAACTGAATATAAACGATTGTTTGCATGCTTTACAGCAGGCAAATGCATAAATCAAGTGGTTGGTAAGAATAATGTATCCAAAGTACCACAAAAAATTGCAGAATATCTCAAGCTTCCAAATGTCGAATATTACATAGGGCACAGTTTCAGAAGAACTCCAGCAACTCTTTTAGTAAACGCTGGTGGATATATTTTAGCTTTAAAACAGCACGGCAGTTGGAAATCAACCAATATCGCAGAAGGTTATGTAGAACAATCTTACGCAAAAAAAAGAAAAAATTCTGATCAAATTATGAGAAATAATGTAGAATCTGAACTTGACCATAACCAGACAAGCACATCTAGAAGTTACCTCCATTACAATGTGCTCAGCAAAAATACTTCAAATACTGACCCAGCAAACATTTTGGTTTAATTTGACGTCGAGACTACCTAAAAAATAAGTAATAAATTTGGTCGCAAAATTAGATTTAACCATATTTAAGGAAAATTTACGTTAGCTCGACGTGGATTCGACATAAGTGGAGAACAAGACGATGTTGAAATTTGCTTTTATTGACCAAAATAGGTAGAATTACGCCTAAATCCACATTGTAGTAGCCTAAGTATGTTTAGTTACTAATACTTCTCTTAGGAAATTTGACGAATGACTCCAAGTCCACAAAAAGATAAATTTTATACTTATTTGGTGTTTTTATCTATAAAAATAGAAATATTGTAGGAAGTGACCAACACAACAACTAAAACATATACTTAATTTACAGCAAAGATTGAAAATAAATAAATGTCGGTAATATATGTAATGCAATTACGACTAATCAATTGGTTACGTTTGTTGATATTGATGCGAAGGAAATTTTGTCGTACATGTTAACAGTTCTACTTTGAAAAATAACAATGCCCTTTCAAAATACTCTTTAATAAAAAAAATATAAGAAGAAATATTATGATGTAAAAAAATTATAATAATATTATGAGCTAAAACCATGTTGTGTATTACTTTAGAAAATCAATAATGCTTTTTTTCTAAGTTAATTTAAAAAATTTAAATTTGGAATCGTACTTCAATTTAAGAAAATATGGCGTATTGTGTTAATTCGTCTTAAAAGTTAATACGACTATGAAAATCTACGTATTTTACAAATAGCTTTTGACTAAGTTGAATTAACTTAAAATTGACGACATGTTAGTTAACTTTACCTATTCAAAGAATTAATAACTTATAAGTTTTATCAAAAATTTACCTGTAGGTACTTTTAAGCAGATATGTGTGAGGACGAGGTAGATTTCTTGGTATAATTTACGTAAATTTATACATAAATTAGAACCATTTGGTAAATTTAAAGTGCAGGTTTATTTTTCTAGTCAATTTTACGTAATAATTACCTCAATAAGTAGATTTGACTTTTACCAAATCGAGTTATAGTTAATAATATCGAAAATGTTTGCTTGCTCCTATTCAAACACAATTTTTTTCCAATGGTGTTTATGTACGTGCTGCTCAAAAATGCACATTCAATATTAACATAAATAATTCTAAAACATAGATAAATACTTGTGTTTGGTCAAACTAACTAATATGGCGTATTTCACTGTTTGATAAAAAGTTATGTCGCGGCATTGTATAAAAATAGCAAATTTTATCACACAAACATTTGATGCTTGTATGTGAGACTAATCCTAACAGTGCTACTATATTTGACAACTACCTACTAGATTTAACATTAACAAATTCAGAAATTATGGAGTAATCCATACATTTGCAGTACTAATTTTAAATTAAGTTTTTCCAAAAATGATGAATAATAGTATATCTTTTTTAAAGTAAACTGATTGCTTTTTCAAAAATGGCCATTCTTAAAAAAATCTGAAGTAAATACATTATTGGCACGCCAGTATAGAACGCCCTGTAGATATAATGCAATATACAAGCTGGTATTCGTTTGTATTGAATTATCGTTAAAATATTGGACAAAAATTATTTTCTCCGCCCTGTAACTAATTTAGCAAGATAATTTAACTTAAATTAACTTATTGTTGTCCAAACTAACTATATCTGAAATTTGGCTCATTATTTACCCAACACCCTTTTATATTATATTATCAATAAATACACTGCTCAACAATTGAACTGATTCTAATTGCCTAGAAATTATAATAATTTTAAAATGTTTAAATAAATTTAAACATATATAATAATTTCACAGTACACTCACTATCTATCCATAGCTGGAATTTTTTGGTTCCAACAATGGCCCCTAATATTGCAACAATTGACTCAAAAATTGGAGAAACCATCCCTCATCATTGTATCAATAATTTGATATTGAGTCTTCAAAATAAAATAAAATTATTAAAAAAGATAAGCTGAGGTCGTGCTAACACGATATTATTACTCTGTAACGTTGTAAATTTCTCAATAAAATAATTTTATAAGTTCTTATTTTTTCCACTCCTACCTTATTTTTAAATTACCTATATTTTCCATTGAAGATTAGTTTCGTTTTCTGTTTTTGGTTACATCATTCGATTAAGTTTATTTCAAATATTTACACATTAAAATTTAAAATATCCATTTCAATTCTGTGGTTTAAAAAGTAATAAGTCGATATTACACATTTTTTGAGAATGGCGCTGAAAAATTTTGGGACACGATCTTTTTAGGAGATTTGGTCCTGTAAAAATTAAAAAATATGTAGACATATTTTGTTTTAACTGTTTTATGTAACAAACTTTGACTGTTTATTTTTAATTATGAAGTTTTGTCTTTCGGGGTTACCCTTGTATTATTATATACTTATGTTTTTGTACCTTATTTTTATTACTTTACAACGTATATAGACTTATATCCTTTTAACTGCCTAAAATATACTCTTCTAAACGAATCTTGACTAAAAACTCAATTTACGTAAAAAACGACTTATGACCTTTTAAGCGCTGGCCACAGAATTGTTGAGCAGTGTATTTTATGTAGTACAGTTAAAAAGTATTTACTCAAATATTAACGTAATTAAAAAAGTACTGAAGCAATTTTAATTTTAAAAAGCTTACTAATTAGATACTTCCAGTATTTTATTTTTCCATACTGGTAATGAGTATGAGCCACCTTTTATCAATGACTTATTTAGAATTTGAAAAAGTTAGCATAATCACCAATTTTTGATATATTAATAAAACGTTTTACAGAAAATTACTATTTTTAATAGGATCAATACCTTGCAAAAGCAATGCAAAAATATTTTCTAATTAAAATTAACTATTTTGAAAAAAAAAAAATTAAAAAATCAACACAAAGTTGGTAAACATCAGCTTATTTTAATAACAACTGAATAATTTCTTTATAGTACAATTTATTACAAAATTTTGATATTCTGCTTTAGTTTGTTATTTTTTTTTAATTGATGTCATTGGCTTTGATAACTGAGGGCATTAACCTCTTGAGTGGTAGTGGGGGAATTCTATCTAGGCATTAGAATGCATTTTTAATTAATTATATTGGAAAAATTCTAGCCCTGGTCGAAATCGAATCGCAGACCGACAGATTCACACTTACCTTACATAAAAATTTTAAATAAAAAATTGCTAAAAAAAAATTAAAAATTAACATTTTTGCCTAAAAATTACGAACATTTATAATATATTTTAATGACCTTGCCAATATTTTAATTATCGTTTAATTTAAAATTACATACTTTTATATTTTCATTTATTTTTATTAATTATTTTTGTTTTAAAAAACTAAATAAATTAATATTTTCTAAATTAATAAAACAATGTTAAATAATCACAAAATAATAAAATCATTTTTCTTTCTGAGCACGTTGAAAAAGTATAGTAAAAATTTTGTTCTTAAATAATATAATATGTTAAAAAGTGACGAATCTATTTTGAAGAAAATTGTTATTTTTAGCCATATTTGTCATCTGTTTCTACCGCACTGCAAAAATAAAATATTTAATTTCGAATACATTAGGCCCACTAGTATATCTTTGTTAATATTTTCTATTATTTATTTATTTTTGTTTTCAAAACTGCATGAAATTAAATTTTATAAATTAATAAAATCGAAATGAAATAATCATATAAAACCATAAAATTATTTTTCTTTCCAGGCACATTGAAAAGGTATAGTAAAAACTGAGTTTATAAATAAAATATTAAATATTTTAAAAGTGACGAATCCATTTTAAAGAAAATTATTATTTTTAGCCATATTATAGAACTAAATAAACGATTTACCTTAAATGTCAGCAGTTTCCACCGCACTTAAAAATAAAATAACTAATAAAATAGGCCCACCACTACATCATTAATTTATTGTTTTTTTTTTAATAAGGTGCTATAAAATTCTGTATAGAACATTATCTACAATTTATCAAAAAATATCACTAATCTCTTTGCAACAGCTCATGTAACGCAGCAATATACGTCTGAGCCATTTGCAACGTTTCGAACTTCGACAACTTCCTATCGTTCCCTAAAGAGGGTACCACGTCCCTCAACCTATCAAAAGCGTCATTTAAACTATTCATGCGTCTTCGCTCCCTAGCATTAGCAGCTAACCTCCGCTTTTTCATGACCTCCATCCCCGTCGGAGGCGGCTGGCTAGTACCCCGTCTAGTATTATCTTTTTTGTACTTACTGTCTCCATAGTAGTCCTGCTTGTCGTAACTGCTCTGACTCTCCATGCCTTGAGATTTGTACTTGTAATCGTACTTATTATAAAGATTGTTGTTCTCTCCATAGTAACTGTTCCTGCTACTCCAATCCTGTCGATAGTAGTTTGGAGTGTAAGGTTGGGACGACATACCTGGATCAGATGCTGTCGATAAAGGGCTCGAAACCGTCAAAGCGTAGTGACTATCTGGGGTTGATACCCTCGGAGATGAACAGCCTTCTGATGATGACTCTGGTTGATGATGATGATGATGCAGGTACATAATGTAGAAATTTTCATAGCTGAGCTTGTGGTACACACCAATTGCAAACCACTCTTCTAAACGAAGCTGTAATAAGTTGAACTGACAGTCATAATTAAAATAATTACCGTAGATTGCGTATCTAGCTGTAAACTCTATGTATCACTTTCATCTTACAGGTAATATTAACTTTATTGCTGATTATTGATCTAGTCTCGAGACCATGAGTTAATAATGAGGGCAGGAATGTACCTATAACTGTCGATGATTGGTGGATGCAGATGTAATTGTCACATAATAGTTTTAACGACCTTACAGGCGTTGACACCGCAATCACAACACGTCAATGTCTTATTAAAACTGTCGCGTGCCGAACCTTGCGTCGTCCTCTTATTTACATATTTCGCGAGAGCAACGGCGCGTGGTATGACGAAGAAGTCGAGGCAGATCTGTGTGTTGATGTTAACGAATGATGACTGGACCCGGAGTGGAGTGTGTTTAGCGTTAAATCAAAGAAGTGGTAGCCGATGTGTAATGGCCTCGCTCTTCAGTGTTCCTCAGCCACTGTCGAGGTGACGACGGAAGATCTTTCGTGCGAGATGGTCAATGACAAGGACGTTCTTGTAGGGTTCTCGAGGTGATGCGGCGATCGGGTTCGATTGGACGAGGCGATGATTAGAGATGATTTTTTTATCGAGATGCGATGATTGCAGCTTCTGTATGGGCTTTGTTGAACTAATGAATTCGATTATTTGGTATTTCACTTGTTAAAATATATTTATTATGGAACGTTTTTGAAATTAGGTGCAAACACAAAATTGGTTGCATTTACTGATGTAAACTATCACAAAAAAAAATATATTAAAAATAGTTAGAAATTATATTATCGCGAATATGCAGCAAACAATAATTTTCAACTTCACCCGCCTTTACAAAATAAAATTCCGCATATAACCGTTTTTCTTTATAGAAAAAATCTCTGTTAAAACTGAATCATGGTAAATTTTGTCAGAAACGTGTAACTCAATGTAGTTTTTTTTTGTTCAGCAAAAGTTGTTTGAGCGTAATCGCAATTATTAAATAATGACACACCAGTCAATTTTCTTCTTTTCTTAGCGCCTCTTACTTCTATATGTATCCAGTCATAATTAGCGGGAAAATTGAGAAATGTAGGCGTTAAATTCAAACATAAATTCAGAAATAAATCGTAACAAAAACTATTGTTTCACTATATATTAAAAAATGTTAAATCTTCCAATAACATACATTTTTCACACAAATCGTCCTCTGAAAACTTTTATAATTTCAAAAAAGACAATTTTCCACTAATGTACAATTTAATTTGCAGTATCGACTGGACATTTTTAGGAGCCTTTAATAATGCAAAAGAAGCTTGTACATACTTTTATGGAAAATTATACAATATTCTTGATAAATGTTGTCCCAATTATTCCTGCAAGCATCAAAACAAATATCCAGCATGGTTTAATAGAGAAATAATAAATCAGTTAAGCGTCAAAACTATTTTGTGAAAAAAATACAAACGAGAAAATGATTTAAAAGCCTGTGAAGACTTTAAACGCATAAAAGCTGCTTTAACATTATAAATAGACATTTCTTACAAAGCATATATTAAGAAGAGTAAACAAGAGATATTTAGTAATCCAAATAAATTTAGGGCCTTTATAAATAGTAAGAAATCTCAATCCAAATTCCCTCAATTAATGTCTTACGATAACAATTCACTAAAAATTCCATTAGATATTCTTAATGGATTTGCTGAGTTCTTCAAACAGTCATATATTAAAAAAAAAGACTTGTATTTCGTGCAAAACTTTTTAATTAATAAATGCAAAGTGCTTTCGGCATTTTGCCATCATCAGTGCTTATTGTCCACAAACATATCCAACAAGTTCTTAGTCATCCTCGCTCCCAAAATTAGATATGTCAGGATTTTCACAACTTGCTAAATCATAATTATTACTGTAACCTACCGCACCCAGGTACCTTAATAATTTATTAATTCCATCTATTAAATATAATATTGCATTCTTATTAAATATCAAAATGCTTCATTTAACGAAAAATCTCCCAGATAATTAAATCTTATTTACGACACCTAATAAATAATAGATATAACCACGTCCGTAATATATCCACGTGTCTCTGAGAACCAGACCAAATAAAACACCATAAAACTTATTTCCTTCACGAAGTAATTATCGTTAAAGCGCTTAACTCGCTTATCTTGCTAGTTTCACTGATTTCGACAATATTTCGATACACGAAACTTTCAAGGCACATAATAAATAACCCACCCCCTGCACCCACAGTATTTCTATGAGAACTAAAGACATAGATACGTCACAAAGCCATTAAAACTTTTATTATAAAAAGCCAGACAAAAATGAGCTCGGATCATTCATTTTCAATTATTTGATGTGCAAGCATTCATTTATTATTTGTATCCAGTATATACATATATATATATATATATATATATATATATATATATATATATATATATATATATATATATATATATATATATATATATATATATATATATATTTCAAGTTCAGTGATCAGTACCTTTCTTAAAACGCTCTTCCTGAACGTCGTCTATCCTACAATACCTCCTACCCAAGAAGGTGTCAACGTCTCGGCGCCCAACTTCCTGCCGTCCTATTCCCTACGTCTCGAACGCTGTCACATTCCTCACCATCTAAGTCTTTTCTACCGTACACTCATTTCGACGCTCAACGTCCCACGCCTTATTTCCGACGCTGGCCGTCCATAAATATTTCCTTTATAATGTCACGTCCCGCATCTCCTACATAATTCTACCGTATATCTGTCCCAATACAGTACCGTATTAAATAGCTTCCCTTTCATCACGACGCTAGACGCCTAGACGCCAGGCGCCTCGACGCTTAACGTTGCGACTTCTCTAAATCGACGCCGTCACAACGCTAGATGAAATTAGTACATAATCTAATGTCTGTATTTTCAGTGGTGAGTCAAAAGATTTATGTACCTTTCTTTGAGATACCACCCCGGTTTCGTTTAAGGGCAGGCTTGACATTTGCTGTAAAATATTATCAATAAACCACATGGCCTTCAGGTCATACACCCCGAAAGACAGGATAGACATCTATTTTCGATGGGTGAAATTTTGAGTATTTTAATAGAAATTATAAAAATCAATATTAAGAAATATACAGTGTTGTATTAAGTTATTTCAATAGAAATTATAACAATCAATATAAAAAAATATACAGGGTTATAATAAGTCATGTCAATAGAAATTATAAAAATTAATATTTTGGAAATATACAAGGTTGTGCTATCTTGGATAAATTGTACAAACCAAGATGGTAAAATTTAATAGTAAGTTAACCAACTGGCGAATACACTGTTCGTTAGCTCAAGGAGGGACACATATACGCTAAGCAACCCGTTCTACAAGGTTTGAAATAAAGTATATGTGAAATCAACATAGTAAGGTAATCAACTGGCGAATTGGCGCTGTTTGTTACTTCCGTTGGTCATCACCTCTATACTCATCGTAATATTTACCTAAGAGGGTGCAACCTGTATATATCTACAATAGAATCAAATCAACATCAACTCAATAGTTAACCAACTGGCGAATTGGCGCTGTTCGTTAACTCCGTTGGTCATCAACCTAAATCAGAATATAAACAACACTATAGTTAATCAACTGGCGAATTGACGCTGTTCGTTAACTCAACCTAAATAAAATATATTATATTGATAACAAATGAATATGGGCTGCGTTTAAACGGGACTCAAGTGAGATCTCAGTAAATAGTAACAATTGTAATATAATCTCTAATTATTGCATCACATTTAAAGTATGAAAAATAAAAATAGTTTAAATATTAATTTGTATGTTTTATTTATCAATTTGCACCAAACTTTGCATCGAATTCTGGTTTACCTTAATTTACATTATCACAACGTGGGTATATAAATTATCAATTAATTAACTAGACGATCACTTTTACTACTAGAGGAAAAAAGGCCAATTACAGTAAGCACAGAATTTAAAGTAAACTAAACTTGTGAGGTAAATAATAACATTTCAAAGAGAGTAAAGTAAAATAAAGAATAAAAGCAAAATAAAGAAGAAGGGCAGGGGGTGGGCCGTTACATTACTATTAGTAATATTTTCAAATTTAAATTTCTTTATACATTTATTTTTATTAATATTGTTTATTTATTTAATATTGGTTAACAATATTAATAAAAATTAATGTATAAAGAAATTTAAATAACAAATATTAAACGCCTCGGAGGTTGAAAATCTTCTAGCGTCGCAGAAGGTTATGCAGAAAGCTCACCAAGTTTCCAAAAGGGCCTATCGAATAAAATATTAAACTTCAATGACGCTGTCGCTGGTCCTTTAACTAGTCAGCAGCTGTCACCAGTAAAGCCATCCAAAATGACCTCTTCCAGCCAAGTTCCCATCGCCACGGTTGCAACAATTAGTGCTGACAGAGCAGTGGAAAACCGAAATCTACATTTTAGCCTCTGCAATTAATTTGCAGAATGCTACAAATTGCACGTTCAATATTAATATTAAGAATAATTAATTTGTTGATATGTATTTAATAATAAATGTTTCTTCATGTTAACTTTTGGGTTTTTTCTGCACGCTAGTAGAAAAAATAGTTTACCTTACACGTGCGTAAAGTGACATTTTCGCACGACATTTCTGCAATCGCGTGCGGAAAAGTATCACTTTCGGCACTTATTAAGCAAACTACTATTATGTCTAGAAAACTTCCCATTGCCTGTAAATATGTTAACACTTCTGGCAAATCATAGCATTTTAATAATTAAGTTTATTCTAGACACCAAAATAGAGACAGTTATCTGGATTCCCGTTTTATACATTCGATATTGATATTCTAATAATTTTATTAATTAATATAATTATTCTGTGACTAATGGACCATGTCCGAGGCTATATTTTTTTCACACGCATACACAGT